ATCACCATATAAAAAAAATCACAAAGGACAAAGAAGGTCACTAAATAGTGTTTAAAGTGTCATTAGAACAAGAGGACATAACCATAATAAATATCTATGCATCAAATGATAGAGCTGCAAAATATACAAAACAAACATTAACAGAACTGGAAAAAGGCATAATTGAAAAACTATCTGTAGAAAAAAATCAATCAAGACCCCACACCTCAAACCATACACAAAAACCAACTCAAAGTAGATCAAAGACCTAGAATTAAAACCAAGGACTATGAAGTTCAGCAGAGAAAAGCTCGGAAGAACTCTAGAAGCCCTTATCCACAACAGGAACAGTTTTCCAAGCATCCTGAAAAACCTACAACCAGGAGAGAATAAAATAGATGATGTGACCTTCTAAGAATCAAATCCGTAGGCACATCAAAAATCTTCTCTAATAGTGTAAAAAGGAAAGCCACAGACTGGCAAAAAATATTTGGTAATGGCATATCTGATAAGGGACTTACATCTAGAATTTATAGAATATACCAGCACCTCAACAAGATAAACAATCCAATTGCAAAATGGGCATAGGATATGAATAGACACTTCACCAAAGAACACATTAAGATGGCGAACAAACACATGAAAAAAAAAAGTTCAAAATCGCTAGCTCTAAGGTAGATGCAAATAAGAACAACTATGAGATATCATCTCACCCCAGTAACAATAGCAAAGTTCAACAAAGCAGCAAATGACAAAAGCTGGTAGGAGTGTAAAATGGTACAACCATTATGGAAGGCACTGTGGTGCTTTCTCAAAAAGTGGGAAATAGAAATACCATTTGACCCAGCAAATGCACAACTGGGAATATACCCTAAGGAAACCAGAACTTCTTCCCAAAAAGATATATGCACACCCATGTTTATTGGTGTGTTATTTATAAAGCAAAGAGATGGAAGCAACCTAAGTGCCCATCAACAAACAAATGGATAGAAAAACCATGGTATATTCACACAATGGAATACTACACAACACTGAAAACAAGAAATTCATAAAATATTATACAAAACGGGTGACCCGGGAGGACATTATGCTGAATGAAATATCCCAGTCACAAAAAAAAAATAATACTGCATAACACTATTGTTATAAAACAGGACTGACATTGGGGTTAGGGGAAAACTAAGAAAAGAGGGGGTAAATAATGAACACATGAGGGAAAGAACTGTTTAAAAGGAATATATGATTAGGCATTATTTGCATGACAACAGTCCAGAATAAGAGGTGCATTGCAAAGTGGACTGGGTAGGGGGAAGAAATTGTGCAATAATGAATGAATTTTTGAAAGAGAAACGTGAACTTGCTGGGGGGACTGCGGGTAGGAAGAAAATGTGCAATAATAAATGAATGGAAATCCATGTTTTCAGTAAGCTTTCATTAAAAAAAAAGGAAAATGCTAAACAAACAAAGAATACTCTCCAAACAGAGGTCACCAAGAATCAGAATCAATAAGGCCACAATTTACAAAGGCAGTACAGGTATCTAGTAAACTATTACTCATCATTTCCATATCCTAGGACATCCACCGCGTGCTTTATGTAGTTATTTCCCTGGAAGTAAGGAACTTCATCTAATTGGGATCAACCATAAAATCAAGACAAGGTCATGTGGATTTTGACCAAAGCTAACCGAGATCCTACAGTGAAATCAAGATTCTTATTCACAAGTCCAGCAACCCTTCCTGCTAGAGTCATGGAGGTCCACTGTGAGGCCGCATGCTCCCATGTTCTTTGCAGGGTGATAATAAGATTGGACAGTAAGCTGAAGTATCTCTGGGAGTGAAAAGGGCAGCTCCTTAGTTTACAAACCTCCTAAAAAGGACTGAGTTCCTATTAAGACTGAGTCTTGGGAGGGGGTAGATCAGTCAAAAGCATTTATTCCGGTCAGAGTTGCACTTGACCGTGAGCATGTCCAGAGACTTTTATCACAATGAGTAGGAGGAAAGTGAGGTCTCTGATGTTTGGATGCAATGACAGCACAGCACCTACATGGGGGTTGGACCCACTTTACCATCCCCGATGCTCAGCACAGGTATCTTACTCTCCCTGATTCTCTATCTCCATCTCTCATGCCTTTAACTTTCTACCTTTTTGCTCCCTCTCTGTATCAGTGACTCAGCTGTGAAATATGATGGCTAATACAGTAGAACTTTTATAAGCCATCATTAACTCACCATTTTTAAAGCATACTGAAGAACTATTCCTTGCTTCTAAGTAGCTAATGTTTCATCAAGAGAGAAAATATTTAGGTCAATTTATTTACTATGGGGGAGGGGGGGCTTCCATAGTGTATGTCATAGGATATGTCAAGTCATATTCCCCAAGGTCTATTCTTTAGAACACTTGTCCCAAAAGATAAAGTGTTCAGAAAAGGGGTTCCAAAGCCAAACAGTGTTATAATTACAGGATATTCTGTTACTAGCTTTGGTCATTTGGTGAGAAGGAATTGTGCTGACAACCCAAAGGTATGCGGTTCTAATCTACCAGCTGCTCTCTGGAAAAAAAAAAGATGGACTATCTGCTCCTATGTAATTTACTGCCCCTGAAAACCTGCTGGAGGGTCAGCTATGAGTCAGTTCTGACTTGATAGTACTCAACAGTAACAACAGTCCCCTTAAGCTCACAGTACAAATGAATATACTAAAGTCACTAAGATACCATGTAGCACAAACTTCATGAATGCTGGTCAACTCGGAACTTCTCAGACTCATTTGACTACTGGGACCTATTAAGATTTCCTGGAAACAATACCTCACTGGCCACAATTTGCTGGATTCTAATTGGGGTGATTAGCAATAGGTTTCCAGGAGGAGCCATAAAGATGGGTATGGTTTCCACTGGTCCAGACGGAGGCTGGACACATGATCTACTCATTCAAACAGCACTAACTATGAGCAAGGCTTACATTAGTGATTGGAGAAGCGTAAAACATACAGATCTGAAGCCCTGCCCTCTGGCCGGAGGCAGGGTGAAAGGCATTCATTAGAGGACACTCATCTTTGGTTTTTGGAATAGTATGTACCTTGCTATGACAGAAAAGGTGGGAAGAAAGGATAAAGTTAGATTCACACACCGTAGGGAAAAAGGAGCTCTCAGCTTCTCATTTCGCTCTGCCATGGCTAGAAGAGAAACCTTAGGAAAGACCGTCCCTTCTCTGAGTCTGTTTCCTCATCCATAAAATGACAGGATTGGAGAAGCTACCTAAGGTACCTACATATCAGAGTTCTGGGGTTTTGACACAAGGAAAGACAGCACACATCAGGCCTAAAAGTCAGGAAGACTGTGGGGACTAGAGAAAGGGCATTGGTTTGGAGTTGGGTCAACAAGCACGCAGAAAAATTAACAGGAGTGGAAGGAAGCATGTTGATACTCTACACTCAGGGTCCGTCCTTCCTCTCTACATTTCTTAGGATCAGGCTCCTCAAACTCAAAGAATGAATAGATGGTAGACTGCAACAGTCAAGTTTGCTGATATGTTTAGGAAGGCAGATTGTAGGTATGGATTAAAACTATGACCTATTCTATAGTGCAAAAGTTTCAGTAATAATACAAAATTAAGGAACTTAAAGAACTCTTTGGCTTTTGTTATATTTTGAGCTATGGCTACTGTGTCCCCAGTAGCATTGTTCGTTGTAGCCAGTATTCAAAGCACTCTGGTGGAAAAGGTTTGACTGGATGAGCCTACAGCCTTAGTCACCTTGTCAAAACTACCTGACTTGAATTAAGTTGTGCTAAAGAGCTTGGAACTCACCATTGGATTGGTCATCCCCATAGTTCTTGTGGGATGGTGCATATAAGAACATCAAAGCAAAGACGTACAGGTTCCACATTCCATAGATGCCGGTGAAAAAGGCACTGTTCACCTGGACTGTGACCCCGCCCCACTTCCAATGGCCTTCAGTCACCTATGGAAAAAAGATAGTGACATTCACATATACCAGAGAAGAAACCCACACAATACCAATGCAAAACCCAACTAATGCAAATACAAAGTCTTTTCCTTCTACATTCAGGAAGGATGAAGAGATATTTAATTTTTTACTGTGAATTATACCAATATGCATTAAGGTTAACTGAGGGTTTTCTAGGTGTCAGACTTCCTTTTGGTTAAAGCAGTTGGATCCCAACTACAGTTCCACAGGAGAAAGATAGTTCAGCCTGCTGCCAAAAATGATTGAGAGCCTTGGAAAACCTCTGGAGAAATTTGAGTCAATTATATTGGTATCCTAAGTGTCAGACTCAACTTGCTGCCTATGGGTTTGGTTTGGGGTTCTACGTGTGAGGCACAAAGTTAGTGGTTCTCATTTTGGTTGCATTAGAGTCATTTGGGAAACTTAAAAAAAAAAACACTTAGAGGCTCAGTCCATACTCTACGATTATTAAGTCAGAGACTTGAGGGCATCAATATTTTTAAAGGTTCCTCATTAAATACTGTGTGCAGCCAGGTGACGATCACCGCATTAACAGCTTTATGGGCATTAAGTCATTTAATGCTCTTCATCAAGATGAAATAGCTACTATTATTATCTCCACTCACAGATGAGGAAACGAAGGTTTAGAGAGGACAAGTACTTTTGAAAAAATGGATTACAGCCAGGATACAAACTGTCTGTAGAGCTCCAACTCTTTCCTCTATTACTCTACGCAGCTTCTCAAGATACAAATACCCTGATGAAGACCAATGAGCTGATGAAATACTCCCAGGAATTTCTAAACCCAAAACCACACTGAGAAATGAGGGACCCTGAGATTCTATAAATCTCAGGGTCATGGGTGAATCTGGAGAGGGATAATAATTACGGTTGGCATCGTAAGTTAAGTATTGGCTGCTATGTGTTTCTTGGAGGGAACACAATTTAAGAATTTTTATACTGAATTACAGGCATTCTTTTCTTTTTGATGCCTGGCATTTTAAATTTGAAGAGACTTGGTGGGATTAGAATCAGTGAGTGCTTTTTCCTATATGCACATGGAGGCAAGGATGGTGAAGCTTCTTCTCATGTACTTTGGTATGTTGTTGGAGAGGTCAGTCCTTAGGGGGAAAAAGACATCCTGCTGGGAAAGGTGAAGATCAGAGAAAGGAAGGAAGATCCTCAACAAGATGGGTTGACACACTGACTAACAGTGGGGTCAAGTATACGAGAGGAGATGAGGATGGCACAAGATAGGACAGAGTTCAGATCCATTGTTCATAGGGTCACTATGAGTCACGGTGGACGTGATGGGACCTAACACCACCACAGCACTCCTGCTTCAATCACCCATTCCCTTCACCTGGGGATATAAACCCAGGCTGTGCAGATGGCCCAGGGGCTTCCACATGTGAAGGGTCTTCTTTCTCACCATCAGCCTATTCAAGTCTCTTTCTAGGCACTAGTGTTTGAGCACAGTTACCAATCTCTTCTTATACAGTAATGCATTTTTATTCTATATTTTTAAAAAAATATGCTAGAGTCTAGCACTTCTACACAGTTATAACTGTTTCTTCTCTGTCTTTCCAGCTAAATGTAAACTCCCTGAAGGCAAAGATAGGTATGTTTCTGCACTAGTGGCTCTGCTGCTAAAGTATTTGATTACTAACAAAAAAACTGGTTGTTGGACCTCACAAGGTGTTCTACGGGAGAAAGAAGGGGCAGTCTGCTTCCATAAAGATTTATAGTCTTGATAATACTACGGGCAATTTTAGCCTGTTCAGTAGAGTCATTTGAAGTTGTTGTCACCTGGACGGCACCTAACAACAAAGGAACAACAAACAGAGTCACTGTGAATTTGAATTGACTCAATGGCCACAGGTTTGGTTCAGTTTCTTGGTAATAGTCAGTGCCTGATGCATCACAGACCCCTCAAAGACATCAACTAAATGAACAATTTAAACCACACAGACAAAACCAGTTGCTGCTGAGTTGAATCTGACTTCTATTATGACTTTGTGTGTGGCATAGTAGAAGCATACTGTGCAGCGTTTCTGATGGTAGATCTCTCAGAATGGAATGGCTGAGTCTGTCCTCTTTCTTAGGAGCCTCCACCTTTCAGTTATGACGCAAGTTAGCCCTGCAGAGTGGATCCTGCATTTCCCCACTGTGGCCACATAATCTTTCTTAATTTTTGTCTTAAAGTAAAACAATTATTAAGATGCAGCACTTCAGTTTCTTTAAGTGTAAAAAAGAGATGATGCCTACCAATTGCCAAGTTTACTGAGGAGAGTTAATTTAGGAAAAAAAAATTAGACATTGTCTGGCACATGGTAAATATTGACTAAATCATTATTTATCCACTCATGAACATAATTCTAAAGCTCTCATATGCTGTACAATTTTACAAGATACATACAGAAGCTACTTTTAACTGCTAATGGATTGGTAATCGTTTCAAAGCGTTATCTGATGACATATGGATTGTGTTGGGAGCTGTCAACGGAACTGTTGAGTGTCTAAAAATTTCTGCTAGCTCTGAGATCAATAAAATGATTTTGACCACTATGTCTGCTACAGAAAAGTTTAACAAGAAGAAAGTATCAGACAATTGTCCCCTAGACAGCTCAATGAGGCTGGGTTACACCAGCTTCCTCCAGAGGTCCTTTCTAAGTTGTAAGGTATCATACTAGATCTAAACATTGATCAATTTAACAAGCAGGGTGACTACACTTTCTTCTTGTGATGCTGGAGTGTGTTTGGGGGGTCCTGTTTAACCCATCACCCACTGGTGCTCAAGGGATAGCAAAGGTCACCAGATGGGTATGTCTTCTTGAGAGACCTGAAAGGTCAGTTAACCACAATGACCATTACAGATTGGCCAGTTTTCACTTGGTTTTGTTAATGCATTTTTCACTTGGTTTTGTAAATGCATTATTGCTGCTATTTATGATTCATAAATAAACTACCACCATGAAATCTTTTTTAGAAAAATTATACAAAAGTATTTTATGATAATCCCAACAATATATAGTAGTATAGAACAATATATATGTGTTGGTTTGTTTTGTTTGCAAGGAACAATTTTTATAAGTATAGTTATTACAGGATGATGCAGCAGTATTCAGGCACTAGCATTAGGTATTCTTAGAAATGTCCCCTAATGTCATTCTTTCTTCTTATAAGTAACAAAAACGAACCAATAAGAAACATACACCAGTGACTTCAGTCAATTGTGAATCATGGAAACTGCAGGAGTGTCAGGGTAGAGCTGTGCCCTATAGGATTTAATAGCTGATCTTTTAGAAATAGATCAGCAGGTCTTTTCTCCAAGGTGCCTCTGGCTGGACTCACATCTCCAAATCTTTAGGTTAGTGGACAAGTGAGCTAGCTAGTTGCACCTTTTGTTGTTGTTATGGACTAAGGAGTCACAGCTGAGCTGCCAGTGAATTTTCAGAGGCAGTAAATCTCACTGCCTGAGATGGGAGGAGACTGCCTATCTTTCTCCCATGGAGCACCAGTTAGATTAGGACTGCCATTGGGGTGGCAGGATAATTCTTAACACTAAGCCACCAGAGGAGCTCCCTAAATACAGAATGTCTCAATTTTATAACTAGTAAGTGCAGCAGAATGTCCCTTGGAAGCAAGAATGGTGAAACTTTGCCTCATGTGCTTTGGGCATGTTTCTAGGAGAAGCTACTCCTTGGAAAGGGACATCATGCTTGGAAAAGTGGAGGGTCACTGAAAGAGGGGAAGACCCTCAATGAGGTGAACTGACAAAGTGACTTCAGCAAGGCGTTGAAGAGATGTGTGTCAGAGATGATGAGGATGGTATATGGTATAAGCTAGGACAAGGTGACCTAACAACGACAACAGTAACTAGTTAGCATAGAGGGTAATTCTGAATACATATAAGGAAGGGAGGAGGGATTATTAATATATTAAAGCCAAATCCACTCCCATTGAGTCAATTCAATTCCTTGCAACCCTTCATTGGGATTTGTAGCCCATAAATCTTTACAGGAGATTTGAAATTATCCACCTTTCTCCTCTGGAACAGCTGGTAGATTCAAAATTCTGACCTTTCTTTCATTATCACACACAACACACGTCACTAGAGCACCTTCTGATACACAGATTCTTGCCATCCAAATACAAGAAAAAACCTGTTTGTGAGTAAGGCGGTGCTCAATAGCTAGTTTTTGAATGGATGAGAGCAAATGTATTGGAACGTAAGTGCAAACACATGGAGGTATTAAGGGGCATCAGGAACCGTAACTCTTAACAACAACTTGACTGTAAAATAAAGAGGAAAAAAGTGCAGCAAATACTATAACAGTGGTATTTTAAAATGAGAGGAGATACAAATGGGTAATAAGTGTTATTTCATTTTAAATATTACTCTTGACTATATTAATTCATCGTCACTTAAAACAAAGTCAACAAAGATGCTAGCAAGGCTAAATTATTTCTGTAATAATAATGATATCAACAACATTTATTCAACACTAATGATCTTCCAGCCATTATCCTTAATAATTTAAATGAAATATCTTATTTGGTCTTGATGGCAAGTCCATGAGGTAGGCTGGCAATATTTCAATTTAACACATGGGTAAAGTGTGGCACAAAGAGATGAAATATTGTTTCAAAAACTGGTAAGGCACATAGTGGTCTCTGAGTCTAGAGAATGTGTCCTTAACTATTATGCAGCACAAGAGTGGGGATATAACCTTGAATGGTGGCCACTCTTTGAATTTATCATTGTTGTTGTTATGTGCCGTAACGTCAACTCCAACTCACAGTGACCCTCCATACAACTGCTCTGAACTCTGCTCTATCCTGAGCTAATTTCAAACTCTCTGACACACCTATCCACATTACCCCAGTCACTGAATCAATCCATCTCATCGAGGGTCTTCCTCTCTTGCACTGTCTCTCCATGCTTCCAAGCATAATGTCCTCTCCAAGGACTGGTCCCTCCTTGCAACATG